ATAAATGACAGCTTATTCTGAAATGCCAATATTTCAAATCAAACTTATTTTCATATAATTTTACTATCTGTAGTTCTTTAATGAACATTTGTCAAGAAATCTTGAAAATTTTAGAAGTAAATAAACAGTATAAAGAAAATAAACTTTTTAAAAATTAGAACATACACAAAAATAAAGAATAAAAATGCACGCATACTTGAAGGACGGTAGTTCCTGGTTCCACCATGACAGACTGACCATCAACAAATACTTCAATCAAGTTGCTTGCTGCTGTGGCAGTTGTTCGAGCTGAACATCAAAAATATTGAGGTGAAAAAAATTAACAGAATTCAATTTATTATAGCAGAGGACAATGGATTAATTAACTCTAACCTCTACCTTTAATTTTTCTTCATTATATATTATTCCCCTCTTTTTCACTAGATACAAACTTTAAAAATACTGAATTGGAAGAAAGCTTTTCTAATCTTGAATACCAAATATGTTTGTCTACTTTTTAACAGCAGTTTAGATTGAAACTTTTAATATCACTGAAAATATGTTCACGGGAAGACCACTTCTCAAAAGCAGAATGACTGCTTTTCCCATTTTGGCACTGATGGACAGTTCCTACTATTTTCTATTCCACGATAATTTCTATAAATGGTTTAAAGTTATATTTTGAAAATGACTATTCAACTTGGGCCACTGTTTCTATTTTTACTTAAATTACGAGTTTAGGGTCTTTCAAGAAACATACCACAGACCTACGAATTTACAAAGATACAAAGTCCAGTGCCCATAAATGCAAATAAAAAAATACTCACCACATCCTTTAGGAGACTTAGAAAGGCCTATTAAGGCCCTTGTTACAGGTATCCTTAACATATTGCTAAGAATAAAACAAAGAAAAGCTGTATTATTATAGGAAAAAAATCCTAATTACAAACTTTTCCGTAATATTTTATGATTTTAAAGCACTTTATATACATTATTTCACTGAACATTTACAAGTCCTGCTATTTTTCCTCAAGTTCTAGAGATATGAATACTCCCTCTCAGAGAAATTTGTACGTTGTCAAGAATCTAAGGAGCAGCTAGTATATAAATTTGAGCCTTATAATTCTTTAAAAGGGCAGTTTTGTCTTCGTTTTTAACTATAAACAAATGATCTAACTTAAAACACTACTATATAGTAGAATTGATTTCAAAAATAACAGCAAGCTTGTGATTAAAAGCTACGTAAAATAAAGCTTTCCTTTCTGCCTTCATTTCCTGCTAATACACATTCTAACATTCCATGTTCTGAGCAGTTTTCTACTAGATGCTCCTGAGATATCCTCAGCCGGGCTCACAAGCCCAAGCCTTAAAGTGTCTGGAATACCATTTTCTTTGCCAAGTAGTACATGCGATTATTTATGTGCCTGCTCCACTCACCCTCTGTATTATGAACTTCTTGAATCTTTCTCTCCTCAGTACCTATCCCAAGGCTGGTACACAGTAAGCTCTAAAACAGGGTTCTCAACAAGAGACAAATTTGCTTCCAGAGAACATTTAGCAATATCTGGACAAACTATTTGTTGCTGTGACAGGGCAAAGCTAATTGCATCTAGTGGGTAGAGGCGAGGGTGCTACTGAACATTCTACAACGCTCAGGATAGTACCCCATAAAAAAGAATTATCTGAAGTGTCAACAGTGCTGAAGCTGAGAGAAAATCACCAAAATAAATGGAAGTGGATTATATAAATAACAGCAATTAAAGCTTTACGTAAGCAAACAGAGAGAAAAGTTATCCTATTTTTTAGTTTTTGGTCCATTCGCTTCATCACATGGGCTAAGCACTGAACATTCTGTCTACCCACTTGATTATATGGGCTAAGCATCTGATTATTCATTTGGAACTCTTAAAATGCAAATTACGTGATCAAAATGTATCACATAAAGAATTTCAAAGGTTAAAGGAGTGAAAAATAGTATATCTACCTAAGTTTTAAGCATAAAGTTTCACATACCTATTATGAATGATGTATAACAGGAAATTCCATTAATTCAGACCTCAATAACTCAAAATTCATTAGTTCAGAATTTGGGATATTGAATTTGCAGACATCTGCTGCCTACTAGTGAAAGACTTTTTGGTAAATCAAGAGTTTCTGTTTCTTTATCTATAGAAGAAAACAATATCTCCCAGGCTGTGTGCTATTAGTAGGCGCTCAATTAATGTCAGTTAAAGCTGAATTCAATTTAGGCAGTACTAGCCACTGGCCACTGAAAATCAGTTTTAAAGTACTCCTCCTTTGTGACCCTTCTCTTCAGTATCAGGACACACTGTGCATATACCTTTATCATTCCACCTACTAAACTGTAGGTTAGTAATCAATTTCAGCACCTACTAAACTATAAGCTCCCTGATAAGAAATGGTACACTTTGGTCATTTCCCTTTTCTGGAGACCTAGCACAGTGTCCTTGAAAATATAATCATCAAATAGAGTTAACCCTTAAACACTACGGGTTTGAACTGTGCAGATCCCTTTATAGATGAATTTTTTTCAGTAAATACTACAGTACTAAAAGATCTGAGATCAGTTGAATCCTCAGATGCAGAACCGTGGATACAGAGGGCCAAAATTATAAATTATAATTATATGCAGATTTTTGACTGCACGAGGGTGGGCGCTCCTAATCCCCTAGTTGTTCAAGGGTCAACTGTAGTTTCACCACCAAGTTCCAGAATGAGAAGCAACTGTCCTATTAAAATCTACTGAAATAAAGGTAAAGTTGAATTTGCTGAATTACAGTAATGACAGATTCAAAATCAACAACCAGTATTTCATATAACAGTGTAAAATCTTTAATATAATTTTGTTTCCAATATAATATGAAAGTGGTGTCCACTTTAGCTGGGAAGTCCACCAGGACTAGGCTGTCTGTTGAAAACCCAACATCAAATGGAAGACTGCATAGCCTCAACATAAGAAAAACAGATTTCCAAAACTCTTAAATGCACTTTACACTTATTTAGCTACCACGTACGAACAAAAATAATCATCTCTAGGATTAATGCTAATTACGACTAATCATGTCTGAAACTAGACTAGACACTTTGTTCAGAGGCAATACTACTCCACATTCTCCACCATGTATGCTGTTATCTATCCACTTCTCTCCCTCCAAGGTACTATTTCTATTCCAAGCCACTCTCATCTCTTGCTTGGACTATTATAATAGCCCCCAACAGGTCTCCTGGCTTCCACAGGGCTGCCACAGCTACCATCTTCACACAGGCTGTAGCCTCAGGCTGAAATGCTCTTCCCTCAGATCTTTTTGGCTCCTCCTCATCCTTCAAATTTTGGCTTAAATGCCATTCGTCAGGGAGACTCTCTTTTACCAGCTTATCTAAAATGTCCCAACTACTCCTCAGCCATATCACTCATTTAATTCTTTGTGGTCTCATTTCTAAATTATAGTTGACGTTTAGTATTTGCTAAATAAATTCTATCTCCAACCTCTGGCCATAACTTAATTTCCACTTTTCTGGAATTAAAGAGTGCAGGTGCTCTGGCAACATTATAACACTCCATTTAAAGGTGTACACACAATTCAGTAAGAAAAACAACATTCCACAAAAAACGAACTTGGTGTCTATTCACCAGAATCAGTTCAGGTTACATTTTCTATACCTTCATTTGGTTTCTGAGCAGAGTTGTGCCTGACCCATGATTTTACAATGCACTTTACCATTTTACTAGATCCCCCAAACTTTTAAACAACATAGCTTTGTTATTCGCAGTGCGACGTTGGACCAACTCTTAATATGTCTTTTTCTTCACTTTTCCCCACCAGTGAAAAGGATAAACAGTACTACTCAACGCAGTCCACAGACAAAATCAAAATACAAAACAAAACAAGAGAGGCATGGACGATTGCTGAGGCAACAGTGATCAAAGATGCACTGTAGCAGGTTTGTGTTAATTTGGGGGAAAATGCTTAGTGTTTAGGCCTAGGTCACTTGACACAGGCCCGCTCCCGGGGAACAAAACAGCCTCCTCTCCACGAAGGAGACTGTCCTGCGTTCCCCTGCAAAGAGGTCACCTACAAGGCTGCATTTTGGCCAGCGTTCCCCAAGGCTTCCAGACCCCCTCCTCTTCTTAGGTCCATTAGACCAGAGACCTCGGCTAACAGTCCTCACCTGCCGGCTCTCGGGGGTTCCCAAGGAGGCGGGGTGGGACGCGGCGCCCCGTCAAGGACAAGAAGAAAATAAGTGGACTGGGCCAAAGGAAACAGTCTCGTCAAAAAACCAAACTCCAGGGGCCGAGGCACCTCAACCTTCTCACCCAAACACGACCTCACCTTTTCCCTGGAGCAGCCGAGGCTGGTCTGCAGAGCTGTCCGCACCTCAACGACCCTTTAGGGGCCGGGTCGCTTTTTCAATATGGAGGCCTCGGTTGTCTCCGTCCGCCGGGTCTGGAGAACGGGAAGCCAGGAGGGACTAGAAACCCCAGTTCGACAATTTCCCGCTTAGCTTGTGTTCGGCAACTTCCGTCGGCTTGACAGAGGGCGGGGCGGAGGGCGTAGCAGCCGAGGGGGTGCGGGGGCGGGGTGAGAGGGCCGGCTCCAATCCGCAGTTCCGCCGGAAGTAGCCCTGCGGCCTGGCCGAGCGTCTTCGGTCATCTCCGGCGCTTCTAAGGGCAGTTCCTGTAATCTTCGGAAGTCTTGGACGTAGTAATTTAAGACATACCCTTTTATTAACTGATTTCCAAACACACAGAAAGTCCAGCGGATAATTTGTGACTCATTAATTCAGAGCCCTTGATTTTTACCTTGAGGAAGCTTAACGGACTTTGACCTTTAACCTTCGGCCGGAGGCATCGGAGAGAAACGCCTCCGTCTCTATATAAGGAATTTCCGGCCTTTTCGCGGCCCTTTTTCCCTCTTAGCGCTTGGCGGGGGTTCCCTGGGCTCCTCTTTTCCCCGCTGCCGCCCAGTTCCCGGATCAGCCGTCATCATGGGTTTCGGAGACCTGAAAAGTCCTGCGGGCCTCCAGGTGCTCAACGACTACCTGGCGGACAAGAGCTACATCGAGGGGTGAGCGGACGGGCGGGCCGGGTGCGGTGGGGCCACGTGGCGCGGCCTCCGCTGCCGCTGGAGCAAAGGAATTGGGGTCCCAGGGCCCGGGCGAGAGGAGGAGAGTTAAATGTGCTTTCTTTCCTCTCACTTAACCATGTTTCTCCGCGTCTCTGCTCAGTTAACAAATGTAAGCCTGTAGATTTACGTTAACGATTGCAAGTTGTGAGCTCTAAGTAGCAGGCGTGTCTCAGGATAGCGCGGAGAAACCAAACGGATGGTCCCTGCTCCTAAGGAGATTGTTTCTTAAGAAAAACTAAAGCAGTTAGGTAGCCCGGAAATAAATGAGCGAGCTGCCACTAGTTAATTTGACGGGGGGTAGTAGCGTTTATCGTTTATTTACCGGTGTTTGTGGCTTTTTTTTTAAAGGCACGTGTGATTGCTTTTGTGTCCTCGGCAGGTATGTGCCGTCACAGGCAGATGTGGCAGTATTTGAAGCAGTCTCCGGCCCGCCACCTGCCGACTTGTGTCATGCCCTACGTTGGTATAATCACATCAAATCTTACGAAAAGGAAAAGGCCAGGTAAAGTAGTCTTTGTGTTTATTTAAAGAACAGAATGCTTTCTGAACTTCAACTCGGGATTTTTACGTGACAAACTAGGATTCAGGCTACTTTAGTTTTGTTGGGATATTGTGAGTTAAATTTATCTGTGACTTTAGAAGGCCAGGAGACTGAAGTCCTCCATTTTTTAACAGAACAGGTAGAATATGGACAGTTTTTAATGAAAAATTGGTCAATCAAAGAAAGAAATTGAAGATTTGATTTTGAGCCACACTGAGGATTATAATTTGGGAAAAGCCCCTCAGAAAGCTCTGAGAACTGTTCTCCCTATATACGTTTTTGAGACAGGGCTGTATGTTAAATGACACATAATTGACAGTTTGTATAATCCCAATCTGCGCATACAAAGCAAGTAGTGGGTCATGGGTCATCGTGGCCAAAAATTAAGGAGAAGTGTTACCTCCTAAGGAGGTCTGGTTAATGCAGATGCACAATACACACTAAAGGGGAAGGAGGAGGCCCAGAAGAGCAAAGAAAAACTTTGTTTAAATTTTTCTTGTCTTGCCATAAATTATAAATTTTACTTCAAGAACAATGTCAATTCACCTTTTCCCCACGTTGCCCTACCGGTGTCAACGTGATTGACCCTGACGTGGGGGGACCAATCTGAGGTGAGATGGTAGCTCATTCTTCAGTCCTTGGCCCCTTTTTTGTTTGTTTTAATGGAGGTACTAGGGATTGAACCCAGGACTTCGTGCATGCCAATCTTGTGCTCTATTACTGAGCTATGCCCCACCACCCCCAATTCTTGGCCATTCTTCTGAAACTGCCAAAAAGGATGGACGTTTGGGGACTTCAGTTCACTAAGAATGGACTGAGCATGTTTAAAGG